AAGATTAATACAGTTTTTACCTTTAAAAATCACGTTTTTAAGAAAATAAAATAGTTTTTTTATCCAAAATTTGACATTTTTTGAAAATTCAAAGTACTGTAACACGAAGCAAAAATTACAGTAAATATAAATACGCAGTTGTTTTAAGCGACATTTTGCCAATTTTTATCTTTTGGATTAAAATTTTAACACAATAATGTAGAAAGATAAATCAAGGACTAATTGAACAAAATGATGTTCGTTTTGACCATCATGTGGCAAAATTCTTGTCGACCAGTGTTATTTTACAGCACCCTATTTTTGCCTGTTTACGTAGGTGCTTTTCTACCTGAACAAACTTTATATTGCGCACCGATGCCAAATTTCTTTTTCACAAACTTCCTGGAAACGCTAAAAATACCCTCATGTAATGTTTTTCTTGGCTACTTGATAATTTGGATAATCCCCAAAAATAAGCTGACAAACTCACCAATAAACAAATGAAATGTAATAGCATAAGTGCCATTTCCTTATTTAATTTTTAAAAAGAGAAATGTCGCCCACAAAATATTATATATGTCCCGCCCGTCACAATTAAAAATTGTGAGTAAAAACCACAAGTTATAAAATTAATATTTTATAATATTATTTTTATTGTGCTTATAACTTATTAAAAGCATAATAAAACAATATTTTTAAATAAATTTTATAACGTGTAGTTTTTACTCACAATTTTTAATTGTGACGGGCGGGACAAAAATCCCCGAGTAACGTGGAATGACCCATATACGTATACGAGGTGTGTTCAGAAAATATCGGGAATTTTCGTTTTTTGAAACAAATATTTATTTATTCGTCTACATTAATATTGTCGCCTTCAAAATAGTCCCCATTGGATATTATGCACATGTGCCAGCTTTTCTTCCAATACTCGAAACACTTCTAAAACTCGATCTTTGGGATAGCCTTTAGTTCTTTCAGCGATGCGCTTTTAATGTCATCTATGCTTGCAAAACGACGGCCCTTTATGGTTCTCTTTATTTTTGGGAATAGGAAAAAGTCAGACAGAGGCATGTCTGGCTAATATGGAGGCTGGGGCATCATTACAGTATTGATTTTGGCCAAAAATTTTGTTCAAAATTTAACAATTTTAGAACATATTTTGCTGCCACGCGTTTCAAACCCAAAACATTCGAAAAAATTTCATGGGATGAGCCAATCGATAAACCAACACTATCAGCGACTTCTCTGATGGTTTATAACCATTTATTCCACTTTTTACATGTTTTTATCGGTTTTAATGTGCGTTCGGGGCGTTCGTCATCTTAAACGTCTTCACAGCCATCTTGGAAACTCTTATACCACTTGTAAACTCTTGTTTTACTTATAGCAGACTCACTATAGGCCTTTGTTAACATTTCACAGAATTTATTTAATTTTTTAAGCAAAATTGGATACAAATTCTTTGATCCATTTTTTTTAACGAACAAAAATCGCCGAGCTCATTAAACACGTCTAACCTTAGCGGCTGCCACAGACAAAGTAAACAATGAAAACAACTAAAGTTTTTATCATACTTCGGGGGCATGTATACCAACATAATAAAGAAAATTTTCTGACAATCGGACCCTCCGAACCCGCGAAATTTAACAATTCCCGTTATTTTCTGAATACACCTCGTATATATATATATACGCAGACGCAACTGGCTTATTAAAAGCGTAACATATATATATGTTACGCTTTTAATAAGCCAGTTGCGTCTGCAAGAAAAATAATTGCCTTTATATGTACAATAATTGGTGTTATTGTGCAACCGTTACGCGTTCTTGATTTAATATCAAGTATTTACAGATGTAACAACTTGCATTTTGTTATCCTTGACAAATATTTTTAATGTGTAATTAAAAAGTACCACTCAACATCTCAGAAAGTCTCAATCTAAGTAAAACACATTTGGTTTCCTATTAATCAAAACCACATTTATAAATACTGAGCTTGTTAATTAAAAAGTAGCAGCTTCCAAATAAGCGATAGACGTAAACATTTCGTCCAAATTAACATAAAAACAAACAGAACGCGTTTTGTATACATTTCTCGTGCTGTCACTCAAGTGTTAAGTTAAGGAGGCTGTCTGTGCTACAGTAGCCCAAAAAAAAATTAAGAGATTGTTCATGTTTGGTTTATTAAAAGCTTCCTGTAGCTTAATGCTCGAATTTATCTGGCATCTTGCACACCTTAATATTTTTAATGCAAGATGATAAGATCGCCACAAAAATTGCACGATGGGACAGACATTAAAAAAATATATTTTTTTATTTATAAGATTGGGTATTTTTAGAGGTATGGTAATGAGATAAATTTCTGTCTTCCCACAGTGTAATTAAACGGTTTAAAAAAAATACTGCACGACATCTGTTTGATTATTGCCCGGTTAATTGCAATTTCTCGCTCGACCAGTAAATTTTCGACTGATAAAGACCCCACGAAACTTTACTGACTTCATGAAAGTAATGTTTTTAATATGCTCAATTAAAATTAAGAGACGAATAAATAAGTTTTGTGAAAAATATTAGCACGTTTTAGAGTTAATTAAGATTATATTTTGTATGAAATTTATGTTACTAGAAAGAAATTTTTGTCAATCTACTTCTATAAATTAACATTTCTAATACAAAATGATGTTGCGTTTAAAACCAAAGGTTTATGTATTCATAAAGGAAAAAATAAAAGTTAACTTGCTTCATTAGACTTTATAATCGTAGAAGCCCGAGCAAATTTAAATTACAATAAAGGGTTATGGTTAGCCTTAACTCCTACACTCATAAGACCTGCATATTAATTATTAATACAAAAGTAACTGTGAAAAAATATAAGGTAGGACCGTATTATTTGATTTTTATAGCGTTAAAATGTTCAGAAAACTTTAAATAGTAAACTCAGTCCAAAAAAACAGTTCTATACAGTTTACAAAAACGTTTTGTAGTATTAATGAAACCCTAATGGTATTATTCATAGAATTGTATAAATCCCTTTTCGTTTAAAATAAAACTTTTTTTATAATATTAATAAAATTTATGTAAATTTAACTACAAATTAATTGTTAATTCAATAATTTTTTTTCCATTGTAACAATGGTCACATTTTCAACCTACTGTTGGGTATTGGGTAGTTTTTTTAAAATAATTAAGGCATTAAAACAAATATATGATGTACAAAATAAAAAAAATTAAACATTTTTTAAACAACAAGTCTGCTTTGTTTATAAAATAGAATGTGTCTTTTAAAAATCAATAAGATTATAACACAGACTTTGGATTATAAAGTTATTTTCACCAAGGAGAGCGCTGGCCCTTTCCCCCTCTTTTCAAGGGAAATAACAAAACTTTTGTTGCCACTGCAAAATAATAGTAAATATTACAAAAGTCATTTTATAGCAATACAATATTTTTGTTATTGTTCTTAACGTAAGCTATTAACAAAGATTTTCCAACTGAAATAAAATTATTTTGAATTACAACGATACTAATTTAAAAAGTCAAATATGCCATAGTAAAATGAACAAATTTTATTATAACAACTGCGCATTACTTTATGTAAGCGCAATTCACACACAACTATAGATTTACCAAAAACATTTTAAGTTCGACAAAGATTTAATATAAAAATAAAGTATTTATTATTGCCATGACAATATGATAACAACTATTACTTTGTTGGATGAACATTTTTTTTTATAAAAGCTCAACATTGCTGCTTCATTATAGTAAATGAGAATTTTATTAACAGTAAAAAAAGTTTATTCTGCAAATAAAAATAATCTCAGTACTTTGACAAATTGTAGGTTTTTGTCCCAATAAGGCACTGAAAATTTAATAAAAAAGGTACCTTAGGTGGTAAATTTTGTTATAGCCATTAAAATTTTAAATTTAAGTTGAATAATATTATTTTATTAATCACTTACAAAATTAGTTTCATTACTAGTGCATGTACATTTTTCTGAGTGTATGTAATGTGACAAGTTTTATAAACGCCTTTAGGGTTTAACCTCACATTTTTCAATTTATATTAAAGCTAACTTCAGCATGTGACTAAAACGCTATAAAATAGATAAATAGATAATTTAATTGCGTTAATCTTAAAAGAAGCATAATAGAGCACTAAACATTTTTATCGCGCAAGATTAAAAAGACCTCAGAATTTAGTTACTACTTTCAAAATTTATTCTTTTTATGGTTATTTAGCAAGGCAGCTAAAACGTGGTTTGAAATTCAAATGCCGAATCCGGCCCATACGGTTTTATACCTGCTTTTTGGGACTTTACGTCGAGTCCCTTATCAGGCTTGGCTCTTTTCATGGGCAATGAAAAGATGGGCGAGGCGATTGGGGAGAATGGAAAATCCAAAAAGGTCTATTATGAACATTATTTATATTCGGCGTTTTCGATATTATTCGGGCAAATTAACAAGGCCAAAAGATGATTACAGCTTAATTAATTCTAGTTTAAACCACTTTAAATATTGTCACAATAAACTAGATTTTTTTCGATATAGTTTTATTAGATGGTTATCTGTGATACGGCGCTCTATATTTTCTAATTCATCGAACAATTTAGTTTATATTTAGTAAATAAGATTCATATGCGAGTCTAAATTACTGGAGAAAGTTTTAAGAAGACAAAACATGTAACAATTTTACAACAACGACTTTAAAGGCTAATTAGGCTACATAGACCCATTACACATGCAAATTTGTAAAACAACTATTCCAACCATCACCGTTTGTTTTTACTTATGCAGAAAACAATGAGTTCTAGTTAAGATTTTCGAGTAATTAATAGATTGTGGTAAAGCATTGACATATCGTTCCACATTATCATAAGAAAACAATCAATTATTATCATATTTGTATAACAATGAGTGCCCATAAATAATTCATATCAAAATCGCCGTCCAAACTAAAACCCACTGCTTTGTGGCGTGTTTGCAGTCAAAACAACCAGAATTATAAAAGATATAAACCTTTGAACATCTTCATTTCGATATCAATTTTACACGGCCAAAAACCAACGAAAATCCGAACATGTGGCGACACAGAAACAAAACACAAACACACAGCGCGCGTTGAAAACGGAAGCGCGAATCGAGCAGGCTACTGCTGAGAGAATAGGAGATCGCGCGTATTGCGGTACTGGTCCTTCGAGCCGGATCACTCTAGCGTTGTTCGAGAGCGACTGAACTCGATGCACTGCCGGCTTGCCGATGCATCCCGCTTCTATTGGTCAAGCAGGCCGAGCGCGCGTTCGGGCGACACACAGTGCAGTGGAACGGTCAAAAAGTGGCCAAAATTCATTAAATAATAAACTGATAAAGATATCACCACGAAATTTTAACAACATATATTTGCGGTATAAATCTTGATCCTCGACAAATTTTAATTCAATTAGTTCAGTGGCGGCGATTTTATAAGGGTTTATATAATTAAAATGTTGTTAACAACAGTTATTTTAAAAACTATTAAAATTTCATTTAAGACTGGTTTCATATATTAATAAACTTGACCCTGTACAAATTTTAATTTAATTGTATCAGTAGCGGCGTTTTTATAAGGGTTAAAATAATTAAAGCTTTGTTAAACCAAGTTAATAATTAAATTATTTTAAAAACTATTTAATTATTATTTTAATTATTTAATACAATTCTATATATTTTAATTTAATTTCATCAGTAGTGGCAATTTTATACTGGTTTAAAATGTAAATATTAAATAGTAAATAATATTGTTAATAATAAATAAGTCATTTAATTATAATATATAAAATTGTATTTAATAAATTTAAATACAAATAATGCTTATAAAGAAATATACTCAAGGAGTATTTTGTCAGTAGTAACACTTATGGGTGATTCTACAAAAGTTGGACAACTTGATGTCATCAGTCAATGGAGTAGGTATTTTAATATTTTTTTGTAAATATTTTAGTATATTACAAAAGATCCAGTTTTTTTTAACTTGTCCACCCAATTTTAATGTATTTTTTCAAAAGCACGTTTGAAGAAAAACATAATAAATATTCAAAACATCAGTACCTTGGCGTGTCACAACTCTTGAATAAAATATTTGAGTGATTTTATTTTAAAATATATTCAATTTATCTTAAATTTCACTATACAAACTATAAAACATTAAATAATGTATTTTTCATATTTTATCATAGATTCGAAAAAAGCAATTTTTAAAAAATTGATAATCTTTGTAATCACTTTTACCCGTCAGTTAAAGTGTTAAAATTCAAAATGCAAAATATTGAAGTTAAACGTCAAGTCCTCGTTTTAACTCAACTGTTGGTAAAAAACTACCTACAGAGCCCGCCCTTTGCACGGCAGTCATCTTGAAAACAATGCAAGCGGCGAAGTTGTGGTGAATGCACGTATAGTTCCAGTCAAAATTTCAGTACTGTGGTGAGTAGTTATTTTCTTACGTATATACACAGTAAAAAAAGTAGTGAAGATATTTAACACTAGTAAACTCTAAAAACATTCTATATGCGACGACTTTTTTTAGAGTTATTTATTCACACTGATGATAGTGTAATAATTTATATTTCTAGGGTAAATATTATAACGGTATTTAGTGTTACATTTAATTTACTAGTGCATAAATTTAACACTACTGTGTGTTAAGGGTACTCTGGGTAGTGACCCGGGAAAAAAAGGTTTGTTAATTAGAGTATTATTTTACACTATTTTTATAACATTTAGACTCTTATTAATGAGTTATTTAATCTTTTAGAGTAAACAAACTACTCTATTTTTAGTAAATATGCTGATTACTAAACTTTAAATTCAAATCGAGTAAAAAATACTCTATCCTTAGTTGCTATAAAGAGAGGAAAATTAAAAACATATATTTAAATTCAAAAGTATATTTTGTGAAAAATACCAAAAATAAAAAATCATATAAGTAATGTTAACATAAAAATAAAAACAATGTATAATTAAAATATGTAAATTAACTCGAACAAATGTTTCTTTTAAATCAATGCATCCATTTTGAATGGGATTTGTATATAATTGGCTCGTTTCTGTTATTATCGGTTTTGGGACAAAATGCCTAATCATGATTACATGTGCACATTTCAAGTTTTTACAATAAAATATCTTTAATATAAATAATAAGAAATAATGTACCTATTTTATACGTATTATGCAGCGGCACCCACGCACAAGCGAACCATTAAACAGCCCTTGGAAACAGCACTAAACTAGTTTACAAATTTATAGACGCTTTACAATCCCCACCACAAATAATAACCCTAATAGTGTAGATTTAACTTTTTTTAGTGTAAAAATATACTCGCTTACTGTTTACTTTACTCTAATCCAAAACAATAATACACTAGCAAGAGGAAAACTAGGGAAATTTTAACGCAAATAGCGGTTGTAAAATACTAATTTATAGTGTAAATGTTTTACCTTTTACAAAGTCTAAATTAACACTAATGCGATTGTATTAGACATTCGAGTAAAACATATAATATTTTTAGAGTTACGTTATTATTACACTGTAAAATAATGTAAAATAGAGTTATGTAGAGTAATATTAAGCTATAGAGTTAAATAATTGGTGCATTTTACACTGAATATCAACTCTAAAATATTTACCAACTACACTAGCTACTTTACTCGATCCATATTTTTTACTGTGTATAATTCATTGTAATTTATATAAGGCTATATGTGATTTGTTGATAAGTAGCATCCACTAATAAAAAATATCAGTAAAATACTTAATTCCGAATTATAATCTCAAATTTGTATCCAATTAATCAGTTCCATGTTCGATGTTTCGGATATCTTTTTTTCGCAAACTTCAATTTAAATTCTGCTTGCGCAGAACTTGTTTATTTAATGTCATTAATAATGACTCATTATAAACTCATATAAATTTGGTGTGGGTCCCATATATAATAATTGAGATATCGGTATACCCAAAATCCACCAGCCACCACTGATGTGTGGTATTATTTGATTTTAAGATAATTAATGTATAATATGTTCAAAGTTTCAATAAATCTTATATTTTCCAATAAATTTTGTGTTTAATTAGTACCCTGGTATACTCGTCACTTCCCTTGCATTCAAATTTGGAAAACAGATATTTCAGAAACTGTTTGAAAAAGTGACTGGCCCGGTCTGGAACAGTATATTTATTATATTATCTTTGTTCTCATAATAAAATACTGTTTAATTTTCTCCAAAAACTATATAAACAAAATGAGGTCAAAGCCCAACTTTTGTAGAATCACCCATATATTAAAAAAATCTTTATTAGTTTTAAAATGACAGCCATTTAAACTTGAATAATGTTAAAGAAAATTAGCAATTTTGCTTAATTGTAAACTTGGTTCACTTCAATGTACTAAAACTTTTTTATTGGGGAACATTGTTAAATTTTATAAATAAAACTTGAAATTTTAATGTTTTTATACTGAAGCTACTGATTAAGATTTTTAAGGTGCTGCGGAATAAAATAAGAAAAATAGTCATTGATTATTAATTTGCTTTAATATCTTAACCAAAAAACTATTTTATGCAGTCTCCATTTCGACTACTGTGTCTAGGCGGCGAAAATGATGTTTCGGTAAATGCCTCGACTGCCGTCACTGTGGCAACAACACTCAGACAGGCGTCGAATTGCTGAGGCGTATCGCGCCCCTTTTTTCGTTATTTGCTACAAAAGCCACTGGATTCGAATGCAGCACGCGTATCGAATGGCATATACTCGACCAACACATTAATGAACTACGAATAGAACATCTGAGCCTATTGTTAATGCACTCGTTAATTACCTTGTTTTGGTCTTCTTTGTCTATTCGTCATTTATTTTATTTTTTATCAGTTTCTACACTGTCAAAAATTTTTAAAATTTGTATTAAAAATAAAGCGTGTTAAATAAAATATGTAAAAATTTGCATGAACTTCCTAGTTTTATTAATATAAATAAGAAACAAAAATTATAATAATTCAAATATTAAAATTTCAAAAGATTTTACAAACATTAAGGTGTTAAAAGGTCCTACACAAATAAGAATGATAAATTATAATTTTTTGTACATTGTAGTATAATAATGTAGTTAATGTTACGAGAAAATTATGTTAATTTCAATATAATACATTAGTTTAAATAAGTCCTAAACAAGTGTTAATCTAACTCAAAAATATTTGTTAAATATTTGAGTACAGACAATTTTTAATTAAATTAAAACAATTGAGTATTTTTTTATTCAATTCAAATAAAATATAAAATTTAATGTTATTCTTCTAATTCGCTAATTTTCGCCATCTTTCGATTAAAATCGGTACCCTGCAAGGCCCTTTGTCTTCTAACCGCGTTTAGTCGGTTGATGATAGTTAATTCGAATAGATGTATCTAATTGTAAGGTTAAGTGTGCTTTTATATAGCGTGTGTTTAACAAAATTTAAAGGTAATTTTGTTATGATAATGTTTTTTTTTTATTTATATAACGTTTGTATCGCCAGAAATGTTTGAAGACCGTTTACCCTATGGCATGGATTTGTATTTTATTTTGGAATACAAGAAAAAAACAAATTCAAATAATTAAATAAAGACATATTATTTGTGTAAAATTAATAGTTAAAGTAACACTTTTTTGTGTAAAATAAATAAAATAAAAATAAATTTAACATATTTAATTATGTTAAAGTTATACAGATTTTAAATCATATTAATTATTAGTTTAGGTAAAAATAACCATTAAAAAAATAAAATTAACACAACACGATTTGTAAAATTAACTTTGCAGTTATGTAAAAAAAAATTACATATATTAATTTTCTTTTACACATTCTGTTGTGTTAAAAATTAACATTAGTAATAAAAATCAAAAAAACTAAAAAATTTGAGTGGATTTTCTGGGACACAAGAAATATGTTAAATATACAAATAAATTTTTTACTGTGTAGCGTTTCGACAAAAACTAAGTGACGGGTTTCTAAATCGCAGGAAAAAGCTACTTTCTGGACTTTACAAAACCGTATGATTATTTTTCTAGCTCAGAGGTAGATTATTACATTGCAATTACGTTACTTCAATTTAGTCCAAAATGATTCTTTCGTGTTCGCTATTTAAGGATGGGCTAACCTAGTTTTTCTGCATAATAGATACGAATTTCTAGCAGAC